TTCAGGGATACCTCGCTGCCTACCATGATTATTGCACCATCTTTTAAAATTGTTTATATCACTTTTTCCCAGTGACAGTCTTACACAGACACACTATTTATAAAATAAATTTGAGTCCAGGTGTGGTGGCTTATGCCTACAATCCCAGCACTTTGGGAGGCCAAGGCAGGCGGATGGCCAGAGCTCAGGAGTTTGAGACCAGCCTGGGCAGCACAGTGAGACTCCATCTATACCCAAAAAAAAAAAAAAAAAAAAAAAAAATTCCTGGCATGGTGGTGCACACCTATAGTCCCAGCTACTAGGAAGGCTGAGGTGGGATGGCTTGAGCCTGGGAGGCAAAGGTTGCAGTGAGCTGAGATCGCACCACTGCATTCCAGCCTGAGTAACAAGACCAGACCCTGTCTTGAAAAGAAAAAGATAAAAACAGAAAAAAATTGGATGTGATGGATATAGAGGTGAGGGATACAAAGTGGAGGCTCCTTGTTCTCTCCCCTTCACCCTATCATCACTACTGACCCCACCTCTCCCAGGCCCCCCACCTCAAGGAACCACTGGAGAAATCCCTGTTCTGTCCAGATAATTTGTGAACTGAAAACACTGAGCCTTCTCCCTCCAGCCTTAAAACCCATCTTAACACAGCCTGAAGGAAACAGCCTTGAAAAACCATATGGCTGTGCTGAAGTCTCTTTCGGGAAATGGAGGCACGAGTTCCACAGCATATCGAGCAGCAAAACTTCCCAAATTCCTCATAAAAACAGATGCCTCTCCCACACCTCTTTCTTCCCTCTTTCAAAATCTCCTCAGAAACAGGCCTTCCCACCCTCAGGCTATGTATTTCTTCTCTGTATCTTTGTCCATCTTCTCCTTGGTATCTTTGACCATTTCGTTATTTTGTAAAGCAGTCTTCAGAGTTCCTTCCACTTTTCCTTCCCACCCAGTATCCCATCATCACCTCATTGGTGCAAACACAGAACTGAGCAATTAATAGGTGGCAGAGGGAGATTGTAGATACTTGGCTGGGCTTTTTCTTTGTCTTATTACAAGGATTAAGTGTCACTGTCTTGACCTCACAGTCAAATCCCTCTACAATCTGATCCAGCATTTCTTTCTCCCATGCTCCAACCAAATTAGATGTATTATTGTTTTCCTAACTAGCGCCTGGTTTTCCACCCTGCTGATGTCTTTGCTCATCCTGCACCCCGGCCAGGAGTGCTTTCTTCCCTGTTTCTGTGCTTCAGAATTCTACCCATCTTTCAAGGATAGCTTGGATCTCATCTTTTCTCCTGAACCATCTCCCTTTCTGACAAAATTTGATTACTTCTTCTGCAATGTCTCCGCATAGTGCTTGCACTTACCTCATGACACTTATCATTTTCTTTCCTGTTTCAAGCTAATTTATAGTAGTTTTAGTAACATTGAGAACAGGAAGCACATAGTATTCTTTTTGATGCTCCTTGTAAACTCTTAGCTCACTGTTTTGCATATACTTATGCCAAGATTTTCAAAAGAGCAAACGTACGTAGTAATTAGTAAAGCCCCTCACTAAAATAATTACAGTACTGCCTCACTATTTTAAAGCAAACTTAAGAAATTTTTTTGAATTTCTGAATGTATTTCCTATATCAAGTCAACCTAAGTTCTCAGTGATTTAAATGTTTTGACCCATCATACATCTCTTCCGGTTTTATTTTCCCACCTGAGTCCCCAAAGGGATGTGTGATAGGGAGGCAATGATTTTCAAATTTTTTTGAACAATAAAAAATCCTTTGCTTCAAGTGAAACTAAAAATGAAACCTCATGATACAGAATAAAAACAGAATGATTCCAGCTGAATAGTGTTTCACACATTATACTTTCTCCTAGCTTCTTTCCCAACCCTGCTTCCTTTGGTGTTCTGAAAATATGTGTGCAGGAGCTTAGGGTCTCTGGGGACACAGTTGCTGAGTTGCTGCTCAACTCTTAACAGCTCAGCATGTTAAATACCAGCCCTGCTTTCATCATGAAAGTATTGCTCTTTCCTATCCAACTTTCATAATTATCCATGATATCAGGACCTTTCTAGGTTTCTAATAGTCGGTTTGATCAGGTTGAAAAAAATTTACTCCATATAGGATAGAAATTTAAAAGTCGCCATCACCAATACAATTTACTTGTAAATGACACATTCTAAAAGAATTATTTTATCTAATGAAAATAAGGACGTTGCTGTTTACAGAAAAAGTCTTTGGCTTCCAAAGAACTTACAAAGTGCTTTGTACTTAAGCAGAATTTGTTCATCAGCAAATTCTGCCATGTAACCATGGGAGTAAAATCGTGTTTGGAGAGCATAGAAACTTGTTTGCCCTTTCTGTCAGGGTTCTTGTAAATTTTGACTTAGTTGCAGGAAGAAAATAATTTTTAACCACTAGGTTAAGTAAGGAATGAACACACTTGAAAGTATATTAATTTTTGAAATAGCTCCTGTTAGCAAAATATCATAAAATTGTTTTGATAAAGTACAGAAAGAGATGTTTTACCTTAAGCTGAGATACAATGTGAATCATTTTCTATTTCCTGGATTCACATAGAAAGTCACAGAAGGGATGATACTGAGGTTTACTATGTATCTTTATTACCCACGGAAAATTAGTCCACTTCCTGACCAAGCATGTCAGGACAACTGAAAAGGGATAATTATCTACAAATGATAAACAGTTTGTAGCTAACAGAGCCTTTTTTTTTTTCAGGGAAGACTTTTAGTGAGTATAAAGCATTGCCTTCTTATTGCAGCATTAATCATAGCAAACAGAGATGACATTGGAAATGCTCCTAGGGAAGTGTCCAGCACATGGTTGGCGCTCAGCAAGTGACAGCTGTTTATCATTATTGGTATGCAAAAGCAAGAATCTCTAAACAAAAATTAAAACAGGTTATTTAGAGTCACTGAGAAAAAATATGGTATTATTACTGAATGGGACAGAAATATAAGCAAATAATTTTGTGGAGCCTTTGGTAAACTTTTAAACATAAACACAAATTGCTTGCCTCTTGTAGAAAATGGCACAGTGACATGGTCTTGCTGTGACCCCACCCAAATCTCATCTTGAATTGTAGCTTCCATAATTCCCACATGTCACAAGAGGAACCTGGTGGGAGGTGATTGAATCATGGGGTCAGGTCTTTGCCCTGCTGTTCTCATGATAGTGAATTGGTCTCATGAGATCTGATGGTTTTATATAAACGGGAGTTCCCTGCATGAGCTCTCTCTCGCCCGCCACCATGTAAGAAATCCCTTTGCTCTTCCTTCATCTTCCACTGTGATGGTGAGGCCTCCCCAACCATGTGGAACTGTGAGTCAGTTAAACCCCTTTCCTTTATGAATTACCCAGTCTCCAGTATGTATTTATTAGCAGTGTGAAAACAGACCAATACAGAAAGCAAGCCAATTTTCAGAGATGAAAACCAAGCGGATCCTATGTGTTCACAGATACGCTGTACTTTGTATAAGGTCTTTTGTAATAGAGAAGCAATTCATCATAAACAGTATCATTCCCCTTAATTACTCAGAGAAATTAATTACTTGAGAGCTTAGAAAGTTATTATTTTGAAAAAGTCTTATTCAAAATACTATGCCCATAGCACCACACTATTTATTCACATAGCAGGCAAATGGCAAATATTTATTGGATTTCAATAGTAATATCAGTTATTTTGAGGAGCTAAAACAAAAAAGCCTTGCGTGTTAATTTTGAAATGTGATTATTTTCTTTTAAAAGGAGAGTATAGGCCAGCCGAAGTGGCTCATGCCTATAATCAGAACACATTGGGAGGCCAAGGTGAGCCGATTGCTTAAGCCTAGGAGTTTGAGATCAGCCTGGGCAATATAGGGAGACCCCATCTCTGCAAAAAATTTGTTGACCATGGTGACGCATGGCTGTAGTCCCAGCTACTCAGGAGGCTGAGGCAGGATTATCACTTGAATCTGGGAGATCAAGGCTGCAGTGAGCTGTGTTTGCACCACTGCATCCCATCCTGGGCAATGAAGTGAGACCCTGTCTCAAAAGAAAAAAAAAAGCATCCTCAGAGATAAGTATAGATTTCTTTCTGAAATGACTAATAAAATACAGATCTTTTTGAGAGACCATTGTATTTTTAAGAAGATGCAGACTACCAGTTAGCCAGAGTCTGATTTTCATTTGTTTATTTACCTCTGAGAGTTGAGGTGAGTAAGATGCAGAGGCAGGATTGAATACGGGCATGGGGACAGCAGGCAGGCTGCTAAGCTGAGAGAGAATTTGTGAAGGAGTAGAAAGAGCAAAGTCTGAAAAGGCAAAGAGGAACCATGCTATGAGAGTATACAAAAGAAGAAACGTAGTAAAGAAGGAACAGTTCAAGGAATAACAGCAGCATTGATAGCACAGAATTTGTTGTGGGGTATTAAAGAAATTCGAGTTTTATTATGGAAAGTTATGTTCTATAACATTGCTTAAAACTAACTAGCTATTGGCCCATAGCAATTTCTGTTGTACTGTTTTTTGACTACACGTAAGAGCTGCATATCTACTTTGTTTTGATGGGCATATTTGATATGTTATATATTATACCATGTATGTTATAAATGTTTAAGCATGTTTGTGCCTCATATGTCCACCCACAAGGGAAACCTACCCATATGCATAGAATTACATTCACTTCAACCTGCAGCTGGACCTAGCATTTAGTGAAAATTGCCAGTCAGATTCATTTATAACCATTCCATGTTAAGACTTTGAAAGCTATTAAAAATATGAGATATAGGTTACCTCTAACTAGGATAACTTTGTGAAACATTTGTGAAAGAGTAAGGGTTTTTTTGTTTGTTTGTTTGTTTGCAGAAAGTGATTTATTTAGAGAGAAAAAGGAGAAGGAGAGAGAAACCCCTAACTCTCACACTGAGTGAGAAAAAGAAAACCGGTCTCACACTGAGTGAGAAGGTTCCCAGAGGGGGAAAACCAGAGAAGGAAACCGGTCTCTCACTGAGTGAGAGAATCCAGAATAGAGAGAGATGGAGTTTAGGAGGGGAAGACAGGCTTCCACAAGAGAGCGTGGGAGGGGGCTCCAGAGGGGAAATCTAGGAGAGAAAAAGGTGTAGTGTTCCCACCTTTCTCAAAGGGAGTGTTCATGGAAGGGGACCCAAACATAGAGTCCTGAAAGAGTAAGTTTTAAGATCATTAATGTTGAGGGGTGAAGCAATATGGCAAAATAGAAGGCTCCACCAATAGTTTTCCTGACAGGGATGCCAACTTAACAACTATCTAAAAAAAAAAAAAGAAGCTTCATAATTACCCCAAATCAGGCTAGTTTTCACAGTACCTGGTTTTAGCTTCATATTGCCAAAAGAGGCACCGAAGAGAATAGGAAAGACAGTGTTGAATCACCAACACCACCCCTCCCCAATCCCCCAGCAGTGGCTGCATGGCACAGAGAGAGAATCTGTATACTTGAAAGAGGGGGAGAGTACAGGGATGGTGAGACATCAGGTTGAACTCAGTGCTGCCCTGTCATAGCAGAAAGCAAAACCAGGCTGAACTCAGCTGACACCTGCCCATGAAGGGAGTATTTAAACCAGCCCTAGCCAGAGGGAAGTGGCCCATCCCAATGATGGGAACTTGAGTTCCAGCAAGATTCCTCAAGAAACTAAAAATAAAGCTACCATATGACCAAGCAATCCCACTGCTGGGTATATACCCCAAAGAAAGGAAATCAGTATAGCAAAGAGATATCTGCACTCCCATATTTATTGTAGCACTATTCACAATAGCCCAGGTTTGGATACAACCTAAGTGTCCATCAACAGGTGAATGAAGAAAATGTAGTACATATATACTATGGAGTACTATGCAGCCATAAAAAAGAATGAGATTCCACCATTTGCAACAACATGGATGGAACTGTAGGTCATTATGTTAAGCTAAATAAGCCAGGCAAAGAAAACTTTGCATGTTCTCACTTATTTGTGGGAGATAAAAATTAAAATAATTGAAATCATGGAAATAGCAAGTAGAAGGATGGTTACAAGAGGCCAGAAAGGGTAGTGAGGCGGGTAGGGGGGATGTGAGGATGGTTAATGAATACCAAATAAAAAGAATGAGTGAGACCTAGTGTTTGCTAGAGCAGGGGGACTACAGTCAAAAATAATTTAATTGTACACTTTAAATTAACCAAAAGAGTATAATTGAATTGTTTGTAACACAAAGGATAAATGCTTGATGGGATGAATGCCCCTAATAAAAGAAACACTTCATCCAAATTAAATTTAAAGGACTTTAATTGAGCAGTGAACAATTAGCACATCTGGCAGCCCCCAAAATCACAGCAGATTCACAGACTCCAGGGGTGCCTTGTGGTCAGAACAAATTTGCAGACAAAAATGTTAAAGTGACATACAGAAATCGAAAGTGAGGTACAGAAACAGTGAGATTGGTTACAGCTTGGCGTTTGCCTTATTTGAGCGCAGTTTGAACACTTAGCAGTCTGTGAGTGGTTGAAGTATGGCCGCTGGGATTGGCCAACGCTCAGCTATTGTTACAGGTGCGTACATTAAGTCAGGTTTTCAATTTTGCCTGACTATTAAGGTAGGTTACTGTTCATCTACCAGGACTTAAATGTAGAAGTAGAGAGTTCTTCTCAGGCCATATTTAGTTTGCTTTAACATCTTCTCCCCTTTTGGTCATTTTCTCAATTCTGAGAGACAGATGTTACTTAAAACCTTAGTCATTGATGTTACTATAACTGTCATAAATGTACTTACATAGTTTTGAAAGCCACTGGGAAAGAGAACAGTGGGTTTTGCGAGGTGGGAATAAGGACTGAGTAGAGGGTACCTCCTTGTGCTGGTACATCCTGTTTACAGCAGAAAAACCAAACCTGGTCTATTCTAGGATCTATGTGTTATCTTAAAGCCTTAGTTTGATTATGTCACATTTAGCATGAGTGACTCCATTTTAGTTCGGTTTGGTTTATTGTGACCTAGTGCATAAGCTCAGTTCAAAATAATGGCCTCCCATAATTTTGTTTAAAAAATATTCCCCCTTTTTGGCCAGGTTCTCACTTGGATGAGGGTGTGACCAAAGCTTCGGGCCTTAGTACCGCTTTTAGTTACCATCATTTTGGGTTTCCTGTCCCAACATGTCTTTCATAGGTTACAGTGTCCTCATGGTCACACATTTCTTTCAGCTTCTGTCATTCCAGTTAAAGAGAGACCATTTGATGTCCTACAGATGGCTGCATGCACACATTTAAAACCTTTGATAGAGTACAGCGCACCAGGGAGACTTTTTTTCTTTTCTTTGAGACGGAGTCTTGCTCTGACACCAGCCTGGGGTGCAGGGGTGCCATCTTGGCTCACTGCAACCTCCACCTCCCAGTTCAAGTGATTCTTCCGCCTCAGCCTCCTGAGGAGCTGGGACAACAAGTGTGTGTCACTGTGCCTGAAATTTTTGTATTTTTTTAGTAGAGACTGGGTTTCACCATGTTGGTCAGGATGGTCTTGATCTCTTGACCTTGTGATTTGCCTGCCTCAGCCTCCCAAAGTGCTGGGACTACAGGGCGTGAGCCACCGTACCTGGCCCAGGGAGACTATTATTATGACTAATGGGAGGATAATACCAGCAGTTTGGAGTATACTTACCCATGGTCCCCATAACCATGTAAAATTAGATTTAAAAATGAGCTAGAGGGAGCAAATCTATATCTAACATAATCTAAAATAAGTATCTATTCCAATGGGAATGAATCTCTGCCCTCTCCATAAAGCATCACTGGCACCTCTCAAATGATGTGGTACAGGGAGGATAGTGGGACACACATGTGCTGGCTTCTCCTCATCTCCAACTTCTAAAAGGCCAGCTTGTCCCAGGGATCTCTCTCGAAAAGCCTGTTCCACATAAACTTATTTACTAGCTTATCTTTGCTAACCCCATGGATTCATTACCATCTGTATTCTAGCATTTCTCAAATGTATTTCTGAGCCCTAGATGTCTTTCCTGAACTTCAGACTAATATTCTAATGGCTATATCCACTTGGATATCTTTGAAGTTACAATGTTTAAAACTTCTGATTCCAGCGCTCCACCCCGCTTTATTCCACTGCTCACACACTTCCCAGATGGGCTTCCCCTGCAGACTCCCCTATTTCTGTTCATGACAGCTCCATCCTTCACAGCTGCTCAGGCTAAAATCTTGTGGTTTTCTATAATGCCTCTAATTGTTATTATTATCTACCACTGGCTGACCTTTGATCAACAAATTTTGTCACCTCTACCTTCAAAATAGATGTACCTCACTGCAACCTTTCATCATGCTTTCATCATCACTTACCGAGAACATTGCAAACATTACAAACTGATGTCCTTGCTTCAATCCTTGTTTCCCTACAGTCTATTTTCTGCTTGGCAACAAAAGCAACCCCTTTAAAACTGGCTGAGATCATGTCTTCCCCCTGCTCAAAACCCTTATGGCCCTTATCTACTCAGAATAAAGGCACAATCCTTACCATGGCTTAAAGGCCTCAGTGATCCAGCATACTGCTTCTATCCCTTGTTCATCCCCAGCCACCCAAGCTGTCTCTGAACCTGTCTCCTACGCTCTCACCACCCCAGGCCCTCTGCTGTTTCACACAGACCTCTTTGCTGACCTTCAAACATGCTGTCCAGTCTCCCAGACTCTGGGCTTTTGCACCTAATGTTCCCTTTGCTTGAAACACACTTATCCCAGGCATCTGCCTGGCTTACACTCTCATATCTTTAGGCCTCTGTTCAAATTTTACCAGCACACACAGGCCTCTCCTGACCACCCTATATAAAATAGCACCCCCTTTTCTAGCACTCCTTTATTCTCCTCAATTTTTCATGGTATTTATCATGGATTTATTTGTCTCCTCTGATAAATATTTACTATGTATTTATTTGTCTCTACTACCCACTCCACGAGTGTAAGATTTTGTCTTTGTTGGATACTGACAGCCTCCTAGAAGACTGTCTGACACATGGTTTGCACTCAGTAAATACTTAATGAAGGAAGTAAGGCTACATTTACCCGAGCATTTCTATCTCCATAAATCTCTGAGTTCTAAGACATTTCTGGCTTCTCAACTTTAGTTAGCATGAGCTGCTATTGAATGTGCTGAGAAAGGGTTGTTTTAACTAAGCGAGCAAACTATTAGACTCACATATGTCTGCTCAAGCTAGCCTGTTGAATCTATCATTTCTGGTAAATATGCCTATGCCAGTAAATTCGGTCACATCTAAAATTTTTTCTTCTTCCTTAGGCATCCTCAATCTCTCTCCACGTGTCCTCTCCTGCCTTCTTTTGATATAAGTTAGCGAAGTTGTGCAAAGGCTTCTCCTTCCATTTGACTTGAGAATTGAATCATTGTGTACCCTGATGAAGGAGCCTAAGGGAGAGTTAGGAGTGCTCCCTCAGGAAAGAAAGAGTGCCTTCCAGCAAGAGAACGTTGTCATCACTTTCAGGGGAGGGACCACTTCAAAAAGCAAGGTGGGCCCAGTCATGTTTGGGAATTCAGGATATTCCAGTTTTCCAAGTATACTCATGTCCTCTCATTTCTACTTCTTTCCAATCAGTCAACAAAGGAGAGCAGGCAAGCCTATGACATTGTGATCTGGCAATGCACAGAATGAAATTGGCCACCTCGGCTTGTTATCTCTGGGGAAAGGGACAGGTTTGAAATTGAAGGTGGTTTGTGAAGGAGTCTTTAATCTGTGACTTTTTAGAAAATTAAGTGATTCATGGATTTTATTTTTAAATTAATTTCAAAATTATAGTAGAAGTAGTGTGAAAAATACTGCCTTTTCAGGAATTCAGTAGGTGGAAAAATCACTATTGGGCAGGTACAGCAATATGTCTCTGTGTGACATGTCCCCACAGACATGTTCCTAGGACCCCTCCTAAAAGTTCGCCACTGTTATATTCCCAGTCCTGTAGTATACAGTAAGTCCTCACTTAACATCCTGGATAGGTCCTTGGAAACAACAACTGTAAGCAAAAACGACATATTGCATGCCATAGGAACTTAATTCTTATTTATGTCAATTAGCTTATGGTAAAATTGGTTTTGCTGCATGGTAT